TTTTTGTTTCTACTGCTGGGGCAGAGTGTTGACATCTAATTTCACGCAACTGTTCAGTGGTATTAAGGTTTTCTGAGTATTCTGTACACACCCAGGATGTGGATGCAGAGGAGAGGATTTCAAGATCTGTTGTCTCTTGAAAAGCATGAGAGCATGTCTGTGCCTATGTGTATTTGGTGGGATGAGGGCAAAAGGGACTGTGAGGATAAGAAAATTAATCTGTTTAGGAATTTGGCATTCTCATGTAAAATGATGTACATGTCTAGAATATCTTAAGGTAGACAAAGGGCTGGGTCTATGGCTAGGTGGTGAGGCCCTATGAGGTTAAGAACCAGCCACTGGGATGAAGTAGACTCCTGTATTATTTATGGGGTCTGGGCAAGACCACAGAGTCCCCATTCTTCCCAGACCTGCTGTTAGTCTCCCATCCAACCTCAGGCTATATAGCCCCCAACACAATCAGGGCCTAAGCTGTGTAGCAAGTCACAGAGTCCACCCTCCTGAGTGGACAGCAGTTGTGGCCTACCTATCTGGGCCTGGAATATGGGCTGAGCATCATTTGGCCTTTGGTTCAGGAAACCCTGGGCTCTGGATTCCTAAAGCATAGTCTAGGGGTGGTGGAGGGGATCCTCTTAGCACCCAGGTGGGCACTTCCTATATGCCCTTGAACTCTTTAGTCTACAGGGAGGAGCATAGTCCAAGGAGACCAGATTTGGAGACCTCTGCTTGGGTTTAAGTGAAGGCTCGTATTTAGTACTGGTCTTGAAGCGGTACCTGTGAGGAAGGTGAGGGTCTTGGAGTTTAGCTCTGTAGAAAGACTGAAGAAAAAGATTGTGACAATGCAGTGGGACCTGAAGTTGCTGACTTCTAGTCGAGTTCCTTTGCCACCTAATCTACAAAAGTGTGCTTTTAGATAGGGTCTCTGTAGCCTAAATGCAATTCACCTGGGTTTGACTATATGTGGTTCTTGGGTTATGCAGAACACAGATCTAAGGGAGAAAGAAACTAATTCATCCTCAAGTGTCTTGTCTCTGCTCTGGTATGTGTGGGATGTTCTTAACTAGAGTGAGCATCTCAAAAGTTCCTGTCAGATTCAGATAAATGGTCTTAATACATTTAAACACTGTGAGGCATTTCAGTACTTTGATTTGTGGAAAAATGTACTCCAGGCAAGATGTTTTTTTCCTTAACAGAATTGTTCCAAATTGAGTCTTGTTCAACTTGGTTTGAGGAATGGGCGTGATATTTAAAAATATATGAGACAGAGTTAGGTGTGGTGGTTCATGGACTCACAGCACTTGGGGGCTGAGGCAAAAGGTTTGAGAGGGAGTTCAAGGTCAGCCTGGGCTACACAAGGAAATCCTTTCTCAAAAAAAGAAAGGTGAGACAAAGACTGAACATTTTTCATAAAACAGATAATCATCCCTGGTATATTCTGACGGTCTATCTTTAATTATGATATTTAAATAGAATCGATACTTGTATTACTATAGTGATGTTGTTGTACTGATCTGGGTTTTGCTTTGTGATATAAAGATTTCTGGAAGCTGGTT